GTAAAAATACATAGACTTGTACATAGTACATAGACATACTTCCTTTGCTGGAAGACTAGTGCCTGAATCTAACCCCTCTGAGACCCCGTAATGGGGCTAGTTAGGGCCCATTCACAGCAGTCTGTTCAGCTGTGTTAAAGCACATTGGTTCACATATTAGACCACAAATCTTGCATGAAGCATTTTCAACAGCGCATTTTCATGATGGTGGAATGGGACCTTACAGTGGCTTGTAAAAGTATTCACCCCCCTTGGCATTTTTCCTTGGAATTAGAACTTGTTGCATTTACACAACATGCCTAAAATGTTTGCCCTTAACCACTTGAGTGTTGCTCTAGCACTATGCTTAGGGTCATTGTCCTGCTGGAAGGTGAAGTTCCGTTCCACTCTCAAATCTCTTGCAGACTGAAACGGGTTTCCCTCAAGAATTTTCCAGTATTTAGTGCCATCCATCCTTCCTTCAATTCTGACCAGTTTGCTAATCTCTGCCGATGAAAAACATTCCCACAGAATGTTGCTGCCACCACCATGCTTCGCCGTGGGGGCGGTGTCCTCAGGGTGATGAGAGGTCTTGGGTTTGCACCAGAAATAGTGTTTTCGTTGAAGCTGAATTTTAGTCTCATCTGACCAGAGTACCTTCTATATGTTTGGAGAGTCCCCCACATGCCTTTTGGTGAACAGCAAACATGTTTGCTTATTTTGTTTTCTGCAAGCAGTTTTTTTTCTGGCCACTCCTCCATGAAGGCCAGCTCTGTGGAGTGTTCAGGTTAAAGTGGTCCTATGGACAGATACTCCAATCTCAACTGTGGAGCTTCACAGCTCCCTCAGGGTCATCTTTGGCCTCTTTGTTGCCTCTGTGATTAATGTCCTCCTTGCTGGTCCGGGAGTTTTAGTGGGTGGCCCTTTCTTGGCAGGTTTGTTGCGGGGCCATATTTTTCCATTTTTTAATAATGGATTTAATGGTTCTCCGTGGGATGTTCAAAGTTTCTGATATTTTTTTTTTTTTAACCCAACCCTGATCTGTACTACTCCACAACTTTGTCCCTGACCTGTTTGGTTAGCTCCGTAGTCTTCATGGTGTTGCTTGCTTGGTGGTGCCCCTTACTTACTTAGTGGTGTTGCAGACTCTGGGGCCTTTCAGAACAGGTGTATATACTGAGATCATGTGACACTTAGATTGCACACGGGTGTATATATACTGAGATCATGTGACACTTAGATTGCACACGGGTGTATATATACTGAGATAATGTGACACTTAGATTGCACACGGATGTATATGTACTGAGATCATGTGACACTTAGATTGCACACGGATGTATATGTACTGAGATCATGTGACACTTAGATTGCACACGGGTGTATATATACTGAGATCATGTGACACTTAGATTGCACACGGGTGTATATATACTGAGATAATGTGACACTTAGATTGCCCACGGATGTATATGTACTGAGATCATGTGACACTTAGATTGCACACGGATGTATATGTACTGAGATCATGTGACACTTAGATTGCACACGGGTGTATATACTGAGATAATGTGACACTTAGATTGCACACGGGTGTATATATACTGAGATCATGTGACACTTAGATTGCACACAGGTGTATATATACACTAAGATCATGTGACACTAAAGGTGCCCATACACTTTACAACAAAAGTATTGCAAGGGTTGTAAAGTAATTTAAAAAACATACCATCTGCCCATCTTGGACAGGCAGATCGTACTTGCGATCATCGCAAGCTCGCCCCCCTGCACGGGCAGTGTGCGCGTGCGCACACCGGCCCGTTCGGCAGTTATCTCTCGATCATGCTAAAAAACAGCCAAAAATCGTACGATTCTCGGCTGGTTTTCCAACATGCTCGAAATACAAAAGTTGTGCGACCGTACAGTAGGAACGGTCGCGCGCCTTCCATACACTGCACTATTATCGTACGATCGCGGGATTTCCCGCAATTCTCGTACGAGAATCGTGCAGTGTATGGGCACCTTTAGATTGCACACGGGTGTATATATACTGAGATCATGTGACACTTAGATTGCACACAGGTGTATATATATATATATTGAGATCATGTGACACTTAAGGTGCCCATACACCTTGCAATCATCGGACGAAAATTTTCGTCCGATGATCAAACCGTCGTACAATTTTCGTACGGCGGCCACGTCCTGCCCCGACCATCGCACAGTTCAGTTAGCGGTCTTTAGCAGAGATCACCTGGACGAATTTCGTTTGCGCATGAGCAGTTTTAATCCTACAAATGTTGACGTACGGAAATGCCACCAACCTTGCAAAAATCATACGATCGACCAAAGTTTTCTAGCATGCTTGAAAGACGAAGGTTGCACGATTGTACATTATTTGCGGTTGTAGACTCCCCATCAACCCTGCAAATATCAGACGAAAACGGGATAGCAAACTAAAATCGCCTGATATTCGTAAGGTGTATGGGCACCTTTTGATTGCACACAAGGTGTGTGGAAGGCGTGCGACCTCTACTACTGTAAGGTCGCACGACTTTTATCATGTTCAAAAACCCGCCGAGCATCGTACGATTTTCGGTGGGTGTGTGGCATGTTCATAAGATAAATGCCGCACGGCAAGCGCACACTGCCCGTTCGGCATTGCGGTCATCGGAAGCCCGCCCCTCAGGGGGCGTGGCTTGCGATCATCGTAAGTACGATCTGCCTATGCAACATAGGCAGATCGTACGTTTTTTTTAAGTACCTTACAACCATCGCAAGACAAAAGTCTTGCGATGGTTGTAAGGTGTGTGCCCAGCCTTAGATTGCACACGGGTGGTCATTATTTAACTAATTATGTGCCTTTTGAAAGTCATTGGTTGCAGCAGATCTTATGTAGGGGCTTCGTAGCAAAGGGGGTGAATACATATGTACGCACCACTTTTCTGTTTTTTATAATTTTTTAAAATTTATTATTTTCTTGATTTTGCTTCACCATTGTGGCCTCCTTTGTGTATGTCTATTACATGTAATCCACATAAAAATCCACTTTAATTCCAGGTGATATTGCAACAAAATAGGAAAAATGCCAAGGGGGTGAATACTTTTGCAAGCCACTATACATCTGTGCGTTGTGGTATATGTACATGTAGTTTGAGTGCTTCGATCCCTGTTGACGGCCCTTCTGATGATGACGGCAGCACACAAAAATGTATGTAATGTCTTTTGACGCATTTTGACTGCATGGTAACCAGCCACTCCCATTGCAACCTCAAATTTATTTCACGTTTTACTGGCTGAAAGAACCCAACAAAGTGCAGAACGCATGGAAACAGACATTAAAGCCGAGCAACTTGGAGCACGATTCCAGGAACGCTTTAACGCTCAGATTTCTACTGTGCTGTAGCTTAACGCTCAGAAAAGGAGGAGCGTCTTTGGGGTATGATTGCGCATTTTAACTCCCATTACACTTCAATATTGGCACCTGAAAAATGCACATTTTGTACGCAATTTCTTGACTAACAAACGTCTCCTCCTTCCATTAACTCGCTTTCCATTGGCTGAAATAAAAAAGCTTATGCATGAAAACTTGCATTTTATGCAAGCAAAAAATTACCAAAAGACTGAAATGTGAATGTAGCCAAAGTCACAGAACAAGAGCAAATGTGAAAATGGGTTGCAGAAGGTCAGTAAAGCATTTCCTTTATAACTGGCATTTGTATACAATGAGGGGAATTTATCAAAATCTGGAGCAGGTGCTCATGACAACCAATCAGGTTCTTTGTTTCATTTTCAAATCTGAACTAAACCAGCTGAAGAGAGAAGCTGATTGGTTGCCATGCAGAGCTGCTCCAGTTTTGATAAATCCCCCCAGTGTGTGATTCTGTACTGAATGGCTGCACATTGTACTGTCCTGGAAGGGAAATAATTCGAGTTATATTTGAAAACAAATCGTCATAACAGTGTCAGTGTTCATCCCACACCCGCCCTCATTGTACATGATGACCCTCCGCCCGCACCTGCTCAATTCAAACCCCCAACATGACAACAAAGCCACGCCCCTTTCCTATAGACAGCTCGACCTTTTCTTCGCCTGGGCTTCCGAATACCCCGCCCATCTCATTTACTGCTTTAGATGTGTGCTCGGCCCGCCCCCCTTTCTCGGTGTTTGTACTCAGAGGTGGCTGTCCCCGCCCATCCGGCTGCTCGCAGTCAAGTGCTGGCCGAGATGGAGGGAGCGCGCTCCCGCGAGATGCTGCAGCTGTACTGATCGCGAGGTAAGGAGGAGCGCGCCCGGCGACAGGTTGGCCGGGAGGGGGAGAGCCGGGATGGAGGAGGAGCGGGGAGCCGAGTCGGGATGCACAGGATACAGCGAGGTAGGATGGATGGTGCACGGGAGGGAGATCGGGAGCCGTTGGCTTTTTTGTGTGTGTGCGCGGTGTTCTCCGGGGATGTGTTATGTCCTCCGCTCATTGTGTGCTGGGAGGGCTTTATCCGGTGCACAATGCCAGACACACAATGGCAGCGGAGCCGGGGAACGGCTATGGCCACCCGCCTGTAGAGACAATGCAACGGTGCACGGGCAATGGAGTCCGGGTACGACCTCCAGCCTGCATCCTCCTCACAGCCGGTGCTCGGCTTCAACCTGGAGTCACCCACCGCGCATCCATGATGAGTCCTTGTATGCACTGCCAGGGGCCCAGACAATACAGACCGGGGGCAACACAAACCGTGCTATCACCAGTGGACCGTGATAATGATATCGGTGCACCTCCAGCACTGTGATCACCAATGTACAGGGATAATGATATCAGTCCTCCAGCAACACTGATCGCCAGTGTACAAGGATGATATCCGTGCACTAGCAACACCGTGATTGCCAGTGTACAGTGATGATGATATCGGTGCACTATAAACACTGATCGCCAGTGTACAGTGATGATATCTGCACTATGAACACTGATCGCCAGTGTACAGTGATGATGATATCAGTGCACTAACATACACTGTGATCGCCAGTGTACAGTGATGATGATATCAGTGCACTAACATACACTGTGATCGCCAGTGTACAGTGATGATGATATCAGTGCACTAACATACACTGTGATCGCCAGTGTACAGTGATGATGATATCAGTGCACTAGCAGCACTGTGATTGTCAATGCACAGTGATATCGGTGCACCTCCAATACTGATCACCAATGTCCAGTGATGATGATAGTGCACCTCCAGCACTGTGATCAGTGGACAGAGTGATGATATCAGTGCACTGTGTGTTGGGACTTCAGGTAGAATGCAGCCATGTATGGCAAGGACAGTATGGCAGCCTGTGGGGACAATACATCCCAGGGCAGTGCACTCTACATGTTGGCTCATTGCTTTAATATGTAAATGTCACATGTGGCCCCTTGGCATTTATTGTGTCCCCCCTCCCCCGGGGTCTCTATAGACAGGAGTCTGATTTTTGGTTCTAGTCCTTCAGCAGTCGCTTTATTTCTGGTGTTTTCCTGCACTGTCCGTCTACAACATGTTCTTATCCACTGATCATCGGCGATGGATCTTTACCGGAGAAGAATATTTATGTGCCACAAGTCATTCTTAAATATTTTTCCATAATCTGGTTGTATACACCGAGTATTTCACATTATGGTAGATGTACCCAGCACAGCGATTACCCCAAGTGGTGCCATGTCCAGGCTCTCCTCTACGGCCGCTGCTTCCGCCTTCTCCCGAGCTTCTTCAGGGTTAGGAGTCATTGACCATCTTGATTGTCCAGAATGCCATAAGAATGGGGGGTCTGCCCATGGGAGTCACTCTGTCTTGGCTCAGGATCACTGACATAACAAGTATTGTCAGGTAGCAGCATCTATGACTGTACAAACTTACACATTCTCCTTTTATATCACACACAGCAGACTCGTGCTTGAGGTGTAGCGAGCGCAGAGATGTGACCGTTCCAGAGGAGGCAACATATAAATGTAACCATTGCTACTACAGGGATCTCACCCTAGGATTGAACCTCTTGTTACTGATGTGTATCAATGTTCTATCCTCTGTCTAGTGGCCATAATGCTGTATTTTCCTGACTCGCTACTGTCCATAATATTTGGAGAACATTCGATTTCACACCATTCTCACAACAGCTGCTTGATTCACACACAGTGAATGTACACACACTTTAGCTGGAAGAATAGCTATGCAAATGTTTTAATAGACCCTGAAGTTTGTAAAGCGTGTTTCCATTACGCAAAATCATTCTGAGTAATGGGGGGAAAAAAAAGCAAACAAATCGCCGATGTCTTCAGGCAAACTTTACAAAAATTTTGCCGTGCCCCCCCCCCACAAAAGAAATGTATACATACATACATACATACATACATGCATACCTAAGGCATATTTTATACGGAGCTTGGTAAAAATTATCACGGTTTTTAATTATAGAAAAAATAATTAGAGGTTTATGTGAGAGCGCAGTTGATACTTGAGATATAAGTATGTCATGGGTCCAGTCCAGGTGATCAGAATGGACAACGGGCTCCTGTGAGCGACTTCACTGACTCCTGCTGCTGAGGGACTCCTTTTACATCATGTTGACAGCTAAGGTAATAATCACATTGGAGGGAATTCATAAAATCTGGAGCTGTTGCCCATAGTAACCAATCAGCTTCTCTCCAGTTTGTTTAGTTAAGCTTTGATAATGAAACAAAGAAGTTGATTGGTTACTATGGGCAACTGCTTCAGATTCTGTCTGCTCAGCAGAATGGCACCGACATGCACAGTCCCGCACTGATGTACATTGTCATGCGCTGCTTAAAACTCAAGCATGAGCCTTATTTGTGTGTGTTAAGCAGTTGATTCACATGAATGGCGTGTCTTAATGCAAGGATACAATGTGTGACCTAATGCACGTGTGTTAACTGCAGCACACAGATGTATATAAACCTTTAATAAGTCCGTTTATCAGAACAAAAAAAAAAAATCAATTTTTTTTTTAAAGTGTTCAACCAAAAAAACTTTATTTTTTCTAGTTCTGGATTTGGGGAGAGTTAGAACTCATGTCAATTTTATAATGCAGTCCAAGTCTGCGATAGAGATTTGCCCTCACTTCCTGTCCTGCTGACATTGCTTCGGGCAGGAAGTGAGAGGAACTCTCTAACCGCCGCAGAAATAAAATGCTTTTCTTTAGCAGAGCGATGGAAGGCTAGAACCCCTGTGTGTGTGTTCAGACAGGAAGTGAGTGGGAAATCTCTCTAATGGAGCCCCGGATAGCAGGAAATAGCTGACTGGCGTTCTAACGCTTCCCCATTCCATCCAAAACTTTAGGGGTGGGGGGGAAGGATTTGGCTTGAGATACACATTTAAGTGACGCTGTTGGTAATATCAACATAGACCGACAAAAGAATACCCGGGAACAGGTGAACGGCGTTGTTTCTAATGCCACCAAATGCTGCTCTGTTCAGGAGGAATCGGCCTCTGAAGTCTTCAGAAGAAACTATCACTTCCAGGAGTGTCCTCTAATGACACGGAGGTCAGCGGGAAATCAACACTCTGATTCCTCTTCAATGGAGCAGCGGGAGAGGTAAGTGTTTACATGAAACTTCAGGTGACACTCTGAAAACCCACATAGAGGAAATAATCTTAAATAAACCTAGAATAAATACACAAAACGCCAACTTGGCATAAAATGGCGGTTGCATTTATTGTTGGTTAGTGTACAAAATGACTTCAATTCATGCACGGAAAAAAATAAATTAATTAAAAAAAAAAATCATGACTCCGTAAATTATGCTTCCCTGGAAAATCCCAAGTAGGGCTGCAGCCAACTAAACGATTAATCGATTATGAGAATAGTGGTCAACTTTTCTCATCGATTAGTTGGTTTTATATCCCCTAGCTCTCTCCTCCATGCTTGGAGGAGGGCACAGCAAGCAGTGGGCGGATGCAATAGCCAGCCTGCTATTGCTATTTGAAATGGCCAATAACAGGCTGGCTATTGTACCCGCCCACTACCTGCTGTATTTACATTCAACCGGCATGTGCGGAATCTTGCCACTGTCAGCTGTCATTCCCTGGCTGAAGCTATCCAGTGCCATGTGCTTACTATACAGTTAATAAAAAAAGTTATAGAAGGTGTGAAAAGGGTCAGTTTCGGTCGGACAAATTCTGCTGAGGGAGGTGTGTTTCCATGCCATTCATTTCAATGGCACCCCAAACGTGCCTCCCACCCGCAGTGTGATCGCCTGTACTGGAACGCATGGTACAGCCATACGGTGCGTTCCAGTGCAGTGTTATTGCAAAAAATCTAACAAACACTTTCAGGACCCATTCAGTTTGGTGTGTTACGATAAAACACGGGGACCAAAATGTCATATCTCCCATGTCTGTTGGGGTCCAACCCTTTGTCTCATAGAGCAGTAGCTGATAGCTGGAACATGTTGCATGTCTGGTAAAGCATTATTGGTATATTTACATCCCCTGGGCATGAATCGCCTGGTATGGCTCTTCCTTTTACAACAGTTTATTCCTGTTTGACATTGTTAGAGATGACTGTTGTGAATATAGAGTTGTCAGGTTTGTGTTTCTGTCAGGGAGATAATAACTTTCGTCTGCTCTATATCCATCTCTTTACAGGAAGTGGTTACGTCTAGTTTTCAAATTACCCTCATCAGTCCTCCACAGCTGCTAACTTATCTGAGTACATTGTATAAATACCATTTTATATGTGTCATCATGGCCTGCAGAACTATTGTATACAGTGCTGTAAAGTATTCATAGTAACACTGAAATGTCTGCTGCTTTATGATAACCTATTCCTTGACTTTTGTTTTGGCATAGCCATCCTTGTACCCTATGTTCCCGGTGCGGAAACATGCTAATTTTTGTCTTGTTGTACAGGGCACCCTGTATAGTAAAACATTGAAGTCCTTTGATAAGACAAGTGACCATTGCTGTGGTTATTGGTTCTGGCCAGTAATGATCCCGGGCTTGGTGCAAACCCACTTTGCCTGGGTTCTCCAAACCCGCTCAGAACAGTGGCTGCCGCCCCCTCCTCCTGCCCCAATTATTACCAGAGTCGTATTCCCTGACCTGCAGCTATATGTCGCACACATCAAAGGGGCTGCCACTGATTGGGCCAGGAGGGGGGTAGTGGTGGTCATAGTTTTGAGCAGGCTTGGGCCTAGTCAGGCATGTCGGAGTGTTTTACCTGTTCTGTGATAAGACAACATTGAGAAATGATTAGATCGCTTGGTTTCTGGCCAGCAGTGTGTTTGAGTTCTTGCTTTGTATTACTCTGCAGAGGTTGTGGTTGGTTCCTCTTCTGGATATTGTTTTCCAGGTAGACTTCCTTTTACTTTGTGTTCTCTGGTAGCATAATATGCAAAGGGATTTGTATCAAGGGATTTGTCTTCGTTTGCAAATTCTTATCTCTATTACTTGGTTGTTTGTTTTTCCACAATACTCATAAACATTTTTTTTTTCCACCGTGCAATATACTAATATTGACATATAGCAGCAGTATTTCCAGGATGCATGTTTGTCAAAATTTTTTAGCAGGTGGAACAAAAAGCAATCGCAGAAATAACAATAAAATAAAGCCCATTAGATATTAATATTATTTATTATTATTAATCATTTTTTTTTCACTTTGAATGCGCTTTCAGGTGTGGTCCAGTGCATTTGTATACGTTTATGGGCCAGTTCACACCAATTGCATTGCGTTCCAGAGCGGTAGCTGCTGGAACGCACTGCAATCGCACACTAAACTTAGTTCTGAAGTCAATGGCACCGCCGCAGCCACACACTCTGCCCGCAGTGCGATCAGACGTGTGGCAAAACATTGCCTGGCTTCACTGAACGCTGTGTCCACTGTGAACGCAACAAAATGCTAAATCTTTTGCGTTCACAGTGGACCGGAACGCAGGCAACGTTTTGCCACGCATCTGATCGCACTGCAAGTGGATGGGTCGTGGCTTCTAATATTGAAATGAGTTATGTTTCTTTATTCATTGGTTGGTAGATTGGGCATAGCGGCTCAGTCTCATATCTTAGCCTGCTCATACTGGGCACAGGTTGGACAGATATGATTTCTTTCTTATTTTGCGTGTGGAATTACTACCGGTAGTGCAGCCGTGTTCTAACAAATCATTGGACAGTTCCTCAGAGTAATCATCTTGGATAATGGCTGTACAGGCTGTACATTCAGATAAGGTGCACATAGGCCATGAGATTACTGTATTGGTAAGAGCAGGAGATGACTTGTATATAATGATACTGTACAGCCTATGAAGATGACCCGACCCCTGGCTGACCAGTCTGTAGGGAGGTGAAAATGGTTTTGGCTAGTTTGGATGGACCTGGTCAGTCATGGTGGTTCTGCTGACGTCGTTTTTGGCATGGGGGTTTTTTACATAAGTGAATGGGCACACTGCACAGAGAACAGACTGCATTACTGTGGGCCTAAAGACGATGGTTTGGTAGTTGGGTCTCCTATCAATATGGGATATTTGGTTATCTGTTGACTTGGCTTATGCATTTTGAATGGTAAATGGTTCTGCCTGCAGATGGAAGGGGCACAAGTACTATATTTCAGTGGGCATGTATAGGTTTGTTGGGGTGGGGAGGTGTTTTTTTTTTCCCCACAGCTAAATGGTTGCTGGACGTGGCATTTCTGTGAAGCTCAAGCAGCTTCTGGTTGATGTGTCATGAAGTAAAAGTATTTAACAATCCGATGGTAATCCTGCTAGGAAGAGGAACGATTTCCTGTTTCCAAACAAAAGCACCTTTTATATATTGTGTTTTTATGACCTCGGGAAGTTTCTCTCCTCCGGCAAGCCTCCCTGGAAGATGTGAATGTGATGTTCTTTACTTTTACTCTTTCCATGTGTGCTTTATATGGGTGTTTATATTGTGCACAAGGCGTATGTTTCCATACTGGCCAGAGGCAGTTCCGTACACACCCTGGCCCTTTGCAAACAATAGGAAACACTAACTAGGTGGATGTGTGACTGGATCAACATGCTGTCTGCTCTGTATAACCCTCCTGATTACATTCATTGCCTTGTTAAAGAGCAACGCCGGGTCCAGATGAAAAGTAAAATGAAAGCGTATCTAAACACGAACAGTAATGTATTGCAGCTTACCAGTCCTTAGATGTGGTCCCTGTATTCATTTTTTGTTATTTTACTGGCGATCATGCCAGTAACCTACTGGTACTAGGGTGACCGCACTCACTTATTGTATTGTATCTGTGGGAGAGCAGCATTGTCATTCTAAGGCTGGACTACAATGCAGCCCCACTCATAACATAGCTGGTGGTGTTTTGCAGTCCACAGAGAGTTGGGAGCATTGCTAACTGACAAGTCAGCACAGTTAATTATGCGTTCCCAAGATTTCTGGCAGGATCAATTTTTTTATTTTTTTAAACTAATTGAACAGATATAACAAAACTTTTGTATATTCAACAGGCCAAAGGCAAGCAAATAAGAGCAGTTCAATGTTATGGTTTATATATACTTTATTTAAAGAACTGCTAATGCTGTCAGAAAAACCTTGCCACAGCGCTAAAGTTATAAATTCCATGTAATTTTCCATGCCAATATGGAAATGGTATAATAGAGTATTGTGGTTGGGTTCAACAAGCAGTGCCTTGTCCCAAACATCTGTGCTGTGTAATATCCTAAAAACTTGGAATCTGCATCTTCAGAGTTGAGGATAGTAACAACTGCTAGGATTTGGTACATGGGGGAAGGCAGGTGCACAGTGGTAATGCCAGGACCATGATCCGCTCCATTGCCAGATGTTAATATTGCCTGAAGAATGCATTGTGTTTGTCTGTAGAGCAAGTGTGAGTTTACAGTGTGTGTAATTCTAATAATATAATGAGATGCTTTATATGTGTACATTTTAGGCAGGTTAAGTTTAATAAGTCAATTGCAGAGTGTTCCGACTTTCCTCTGTGTATGATCAGATTATATAACATGAATACTTTTTTTTAAAAACACTTTCCTCTGTCTTCTGCTTGTCTTGCAGTGACCATTTGACAATGGTGGTCCCTGAAAATCCTGTTATCCAGCATGATCATACGATAGGGGCCAACAGCAGTATGGATACAGAAGCTGAATCAGACTACAGTCCTGACCTGAATGAAGTGCGCAAGCTTCAGGAACTGGTTAGAAGACTGGAAATTCAGAACCAGCAGCTGAGGATAAAGAAGACTCCACAGAGCGGCAATCACACCGGTGTTGATAATCACCTCTCTACAATTCATTGTACCGGCGTCATGAACAGCATGAACATCCAGCCTGACATTGGAGACCTGGAGATCATCCCCAACCTGCACTCTAAGCTGGATCCCAGTCACTTGGAAAAAGAAAACATCCCTCGTATAAGGATGGACTCACAGGTGCAGTACGAGAAGGTGTGTGCTGACTCGAAGCTCGCCAGTAAGGGAGGGAATCACTGTGATATGGACGATAGCTCTTTCTTCAGCCTGGACGTCAGCGGCAAAACGGAGCAGGAGGACAGCTCTGGCAGTATGTCTGAACAAGGCTCCAGCGGGGTTTGTGGGGATCTTCTGGATGAGACGGCCCTCGGTGAGGTTGATGTTCTGGAGCTGGATTCATGCAGTGAGGACGAGGAGGACTGCTGGTAAGTGTTTCATTAAAACTGACTGCCTTTTTGATAAAAGCACTGTGTGCATGGAGTCCGCTGACTTAGGAACTTTTTTAATTAAAACGAGGGACTATTGGAATTAGCAGCTGCAACCAGTTAACATTTTTACTTGGTTTGCCTAGTTGCATTGGGGGAGCAACTGATAAGCAGTCAAGGACCTGAGAACGTTTGTCTGAACCTGACCCCTCCTAATAAAGTATGCTACTTGACTGCACAGATATCATAAAGGGCAACCTTTATATTCTGGCAGCTAAGGTGTGTTTTTTGGGTTGTCATTATTTTATACAAGATTTATATAGCGCCAACAGTTTGCGCAGCGCTTTAGTTGTCACCAGAGAGGGTTCTTGGTGGGTTTTTTTCAGCTTGAACTTCCGGTTGAAGATTTCTCCACATACTAGAAAGGCTAAAGATGCTCACACTAGACTGTGGCTGCCTGTATATGTTTGATCCAGCTGCCTATGGTTATTACCAATCACTGTTGAATGAACTTGGATGTATGTGCCCATTGAGAATGGGGCACACTTCAGGCAATAGCAGTCAGGTAGGATCACTTATCCAGGCCACTAGTTTTCTTCCAATCAGCCTAGAGTATCAGGGAAATGCCTACAGACATAAACATTTATCTGATCTGACCATAAATGGGTGAATTTGGCAGATTTGTTTGCTCTCTGGGCAACTTCAATATCTAAGAGCTTTAAAAGAGGGCACTGGGCTGGTATTTCTGATGCCTTCTAGGCATCTGCCCTAATTGTGTGTGTGGCATCCAACAGTGCTGATTGAACGAAATGGCTTCGTACATGCTTGCACGGTTTATTAACTTTTTGTTGGCTTTATATTGGCTTGCCTGTAGATGTCACCGAATTTACAAATTGTTATGGGTGGATGTTGAGTGTGTGCTAAACACAGGTAATGGATACTTTTGGGGTTGAAGTCATCAAAGCAATTGCGTCAGTTTTAGCCTCTTTAGATCCCCCCCACCCCCCCTTTTTTTTCTTAATGTGCAAATCTGTCTTAACCTGTGCGCCTGTTTTGACCAGAGTTTGCACTAGTTTTCCAATTGCGCCTGTTTTACGAAGGTTCGCAACTGTTTACATCTGCACTTGTTTTGCTGCCGTTAAGCTTTTTGCCTGGCATTACGAGTCTTTCCTGGAGTCTATTTAATCTCGTTTATAAACCACATTACACTAGCAACATAAATCTGGCGCAAAGTGCATCAAATATATTCCGTGAAAGTTCAAACACTCGCAATTGCTATGATAAGTTCCCCCCTTTGTGTCTAAACACAGCGCCTATGGAAATGACACCATGTCCTTTGAGCACACCATACAGGTGTGCAGGAAAAGAAAGAAATGCAGCTCAATGGACCTGGTGTGTAAACAACCCTAATCTGAAATCTGATTGTATTATATGTTACCCTTTCTGGGAGAACTGACATTTCACTCTGTTGATGATGCTGGTGATAGATGTCATGATAAATCCATGTCCTGATCAGCCATGGGATATGTTTGCCTATGGCCAGGAAGAGACCATTTAAAGGTGTAATTGTGATGCTCTTTTATGTCTATCTGCTATATTATGTGTGTCTACGTCATACAAAGCCATGATGAAAAGGTAGACCTAGCAGCGGTCACTGGCCAGACCTACAGAGACATTTTATTACATTATTAAGATTACGTACATTAAGCTGCCTGTCCCGCTGATATACAATGGGAGACAACAACGGAAGTTGTAGTGCACATCTCATGTTGCATTGGTTTTTGCTGGCCTCTAGTATATTGCTAAGCAGGTTATTGGATAACCCCCAAAAAACCTGTGACCGTCACTGTCTGCAGGACAGGTATAATTTTTAAAGGGGACAGTTCTATTAAGAATGATGTATCCAATTTGAATGGGTGTTGTCCTCCTTTTACTCTCTATGGCTCTCAGGAATGTACAGGTAAAATCTTCCATTGGCGTTACCCTTCCTTTCATGGAACTGTAGAGCGCATCTAAACCCTAAAACAAAAATGTAATATATTTAAGATTACCAATTCCTTAGATGAAGTGGCTGCATTAGTTTTTTTTTCTTCAGTTGATTTATCTTTTTCTCACCTGATGATCCGAGCAGAGACACACTTCCTGTACTAGGGTGACAACGGTCAGTGTTGTCATGCTAGAAGAGGAAGTATGTTAGGACTACAGAACACTCATCTCTAATTCATAGGAAGGAGGTGATCTGTAGTAGATAGCTGGGGACGCTGATGACATGGCTTCAGATGTTGAGTGCACAGGAAGGACACTGGATTTTTTTTAGCAGGATCAGCAGGTATTTTTTGTTGTACTTGCACAAAATGTTATCCTGAAATTAAATTTGGATGCAGCCACCTCATCGAACGACTAGTAAGGTGCAATACATAATATTTTTGTTGTTCTTGGGTTTGCATATCCTTTAAGTCACTTCGTACATTTTCATAATTTAAGAAATCCATCAGAAAGGTGGGACAGGCTTACAATGGCTTCAGCAGGGAACTCTGGGGCAGAGATGTAATATTTGTGTCCTGAGAAGCCGTGTGAATTAACTTTAATTAAAATGTTGATTTTTGGGTACAGCGATCCTTCAAACCTCCTTTTATTTTTATATTTGTTTCTTCTTGGTACGAGTGGTAATCTGGGCTGATTTCTGACGCTGCAGTCAGCGCTCTGTTGTTGCTTCTGGAGCTGCTTTTGAAAGTTCCATTTGCACAGAAACCATTTTCAGCCTTGAAATATTTAAAGCCTGTTGTACCGTATGAAGAGAGAAATCTCCTGACCTAGATTTTATGTTAAGGGCTGTTCTGAATGGTCACGTGGGTGTCTGATGACTGTTGCCTGATGATTGAGAACTACATCTTTGTTTCCTAGTTTTGCTTTGAGTGGCTTGATCTTCTTCTTTTTTTTCTTTTTTCTTTTTTTCTCAGTTTGAATATTTGTATGTCATGCTCATCCCTTAACTTTATTTGGCTTATTCTTGTGCACACCTGCGGTCTTCAAAGCGTACATTGTAGAACTGTTTTGTTTTTTTGGTATTGGCAAATGTCTGCAAAAATCCTGACCGTTTGGTATATCCAACAAGTTAATAGTGCAGGCAGATTGGCAGATTTTTATATCAGTATATGGAAATCCGGTATCAAACTAATCTACCTGTTAGGATGACTCCATACCTATGCCTAGATATGCCCTGCATATGTATTTTAGGGAGCATCCCTTTTATTTCTAAATCGCTTCCTATGCATGTCAGCATAGTACACACCACAACACAGACTTTTTTGTTTTGTTTTTTTTAACCTTTGTTAAAGGAGAATTATTGGGAGAGCAAAATACACTGTTCCCAAAACCTAGAGCTGGCAGGAAGGACACTGCAGCTGTCACATGATGGCTCTATAGATCGAGAACTGAGTGATCAGGAACCGCTATCTGCTGGGAGAAAACCATGAGCTGAGCTGTCAGCAGTTTGTGATCGTCGGCTCTTGGTAGTCTCCTACAGATAGTGGTGACTGTCATTCACTGCTCTCCACGGGGATTCCCCCACCTCTCTGTTCCTCCAGAACTCATTGGAGGGACAGACAGGGGAGAGGGCAGGGGCAGCTGGCTCTGGCTCTAGAGAGGCAGAGCCAGCTGTCAATCAGGCAGCAGGGTGGAGCCCGACAATATTGTCGGAATCTTTCCTGGCTGCGACTCCGCTCTGAGCATATGTTAATTTTGTCATCGGAGTATATTAGTAAATGGGAGTTGCTCAGGCCTGTATCTTTTAATAGTGTTTAACATCTGAAGAATAAGGATCTTAACTCCCATCTTGTCTCCCCACCCCGTTTCAAGGCTTTACATTTCTCCAAAGAAACATGCAAAGGAAGAGCAGGAAACGGATTCTCCCTTAAAATGGTGCCGGCAAGTGCTGGATCACCACAGTCCGGAGACGGAGGCTGCTTGTCGGACTTTAATTGGCAAGCTCGATCAAGGTAAGAGAACATTTCTAGCTGTGGTCTCTGATTGCTGTATTTTAGGATTGTTTTGGCACAAAGGTCAAATGTCTCACCATGCTGGAAATCTTACCTGCAGCTGTCTTTGCTGATAAACTGTATTGATTAAAGCTGAACTCTGGGCAAAAAATGATTCCTTGCAGTGGGGCGTCCTCTGTACAGCAAGGGTTTAGTGCTAATCTTTGCCTAATGCTTGATCCTTTGAGCTGCCTGGCTGTTAGACCGGTCCCTGGAGTGTCTCTTCCCCCCCTCTACTGCAGCGGTCTAAGCTCTGTCATCCTGTTTTACACACATTGTATAGTCTGTGAGGATGCCGTATAGTCTGTGAGAATGCCAAGGGACATACCATCGCTGCAGTGGAGGAGGAGACAGGCTGGAGGGAGCACTGTGACAGCTGGCTGGCTTGGGATGATCAGGTAACTTTTTTTATTTTTACCTAAGGCAAAAACTAGCACTTAACCCTCGCAGTGTAGCCCCACTGCAAGGGTTAATCATTTTTTGCCCAGAGTTCTTTAACCAGTTGACATCCGCGGTGTTAAACCCACAGCGTAGATGGGAAATGGCTTCTAGTTAAGACTACGGATGCACCAATACCGTTTTTTATACGGTTTTACGGTATCGATTGAGTACCAATTATTTATCTTTCGGCATTTGTTGATGGAGTACTGATACTGGTACTTCCGCTAGCATGGAGCCAGCTTCCCAGCCAATCAGCATGGAGCTGGCTTTTGCCAGTCAGGAACTTCCGGTATCAGGGGTAAGAATCGGAGCAATTGGGTGAGTACGAGTACTCTGCCAAAAACTCTATCTGCAAATGATCTTGCTGTGCATACAATGAGGCTGATTTACTAAAGGAGTTGAGAAGCAAGTAAACCAAGTTCCCGTTTACATTGAATGTCCAATTCTGTGCAGATGAAATAAGTGAACAGGATTTTGCTTTTTACATGATAAGTTAGTTGAAGTGAAGATTTCCTTGAGTGACAGTTATCACCTCTTCAGTAAATCAGCCTCACAATGTCTACATGCCTCAGTACGGTTTCTCATGTCTGGACCTCTATGTAGCTTTGCTCTGCAGTTTAATCGTGCCGAGTCAAATGAGTCTTCCTGTATGGGATTACTTTACAGGAAGTCAGATGTATTTGATACTATTGCTCCACACTGTACCAGCTTTGTTTCTGATAATCTGCTGGAACTTTGACATTTTCATCCACTGAGATGGAAGAGTCGATGGAGGAAAGTGCAATATTCATGTCATTCAGTCTGAATAGAATTTGTACTTTGCTGTGAAGTAAAATCTAACGCGCTCTCCTCATTTGACTTTATAGAATACATCTGAAGAGGTTATTTGGATTCTCTTTGGACATAATATTGGGCACAGATCATGTCAGTTGATTCTTTGGTTGCCAGGATAAGAGCTGTTATTGGATGCATGCAATGTCTGTTCTCCAGAGAGGAGTTCAGCACTGCATTTAAGCACCCAGAATACAAGCAGCCTAGAGCTGTATCATCATTGCCTAATGTCTGATTAGCTGTGTGGAGCCAATTCTACTGGTATCGGCCTTTCCAGGTGTTTGACCCATTATAGGAACCAGATTTACAGCCTTTTCTTTTCCCATCCAGTTACTTTTCTTTTTTTTTTTCTGTATTTGCTTTCACTCTCACTATCATGCTGACAGGAGGGCAGCCAGTGGAGGTTAGAGGGCATTCAGGCTTCCATCTGTGCTCATGTATTGTATGCGCAGCCTTGGCTCCAGCCCAGATGGTTACATACAATGCACCTGTTTCCCTTCCCCAGTCCAAACTGCGAATAAAAGCTAAAAGTTTGCAGAGTAAACGGTCGACCTAGAAGCTGCATGAAATGGTGTCACAAGTCAGTCACAGTTCATGGTTCCCTGTATGAAGAAACAGTATTTACACGCAGGGGTGTTTGAGGGGGAAAACAAACATGGATAGATGTGGACAGATCTCAGGATCCAGGTAGCCAATGCTCTTTACAAATTACAGCCGGCCCCTAACTTTTGAGGTTTTCTCTAGTTGTCAATAGAGCTGGCTCCTAAAAAAAGAAAATCCTGATTTTGTGATTTGCCCACCCCCTGAGGATAAGCATATATTGCATTAGCGTTGACATCAACCCATCAATGAGAAAGTATCTCTTCTCCCATGCCTAGTCTCCACCATCGTGAAGTTGGGTTGCAAAGAAGTGATGTTGGCACATAAAGAAGAATGTGCAGCATTTTTGGCTCCATCTCCTCGTGTCACACATATTGATGGTGGGCAGGGTGTGGAGAACAGGGCCCTTACCTGGTTGCTATAGGCAGAGGCCAAATGCCGTGGATGCCTGAGGGCAGTTGAATTGCACGTGTCCATCCATCCTCTGACATCTGTGGGCACCTTCACAGTTCTTTAGTTACTATTTCATGCTGCTACAGTTTTATGTTCGGCTATTATGAGCCTGTATAGGTATGAACATACATAAACTGCAGTACAAAGTTTCTTTCTTTGCACTTTTATCTGAATGCTCAAGGTAAGCATTGTTCTTATTCAAATTTCACAGCGGGGATATTTTCATCGGCACATATCTACTCCTTTAGAGAAGATTTCCAGTCTGCTCTGACCTGTAGAATAAGACTAACAGATGAGAGTTTGGTTTATACTGAAAAGCTTCTATTGCATGTGTTCATTTGACTCTAATGTTCATGTTTGAACTAACCTGGTTATACCTTTTTTAAATTGTCATTGTAGCGAGTAGATGGAAAAGCCTTTACTGCAGTCCGCTGGCATCACCAAGTGCATATAGCGCCAACAATGAGAGCGGCAGTTGTAGCAATACACTAAATTCACCTGGGTGCCTCAAATCCACTAACAAAGCACTACTAACCTGTGGCAGCTCAGGTACGGCATGACTTGTGAACGGCATGAAACTTAACGCATCACCTAATTACAGTGTTTCCATAACATGGCCCTCAATGTACAGATACATGTTTGCTATATGACTGTGTAAATAGGACTTGTTTCTGACTCTTTATGTATGTGGCTTGGCTTGTGTGTGTAGTAATGTACCAATGTACTGTTGACACCTAAACTTGTTTAACATGTTTGTCTTTACTAGAGTTGTTTAGTATAGATGCATGCACTGCTGCACCACGTAGTGTTCCAGGATCACATTTTTAGATTGAGCAAATAAAACATTAACTGATGATCGTGCAGTATTGAGTCCACACCAGTTGTACGACTGGGAAAGCTTGCCCATGGCTTTTATAAAACTGAAGTGAAGGTCTGGCATGCTATTGTAGTAGGGGGCCAGGGCACTGTGGCTTCCACTTGAGTTGTGCAACCAACACCTCAGTTGATGCAAAAACTCCAAGTATAGTAGGAAATATGACATCTGTATTTACATAGACCATGACAAGATTGTCTGTCTGTCTGTCCTTCAAGATACTTTTCTTTGGTAGATACTGTTATGATCGGTGTATGTGGCCCCTGCAGTAGCTTTTTGGCAGCATCTAAGCCAGGGGCGGCCACAATTTTTTGTGATTTAGATCTGCTTTTCAAATGACGAGCTACATGAGCTCTACCAACGAAAAAAAAACCTCTCTCCTCGTTCTCCTACGTTCTCGTGGCTCACCTTGCTGTATAAACTAATATTCTTTGATGTAATAAATAGCACTTCAACCTCCAGTATCCACCAGAAAGGTGTCAGGGAGCTTGGCTCAGCAGACTCAGGCTAATAGGTAATCATGTGTGCACAGCTAAATAAATATACCAAAATGGAATAAAGGGGCCACCATTCACACCCTTCCTGATCTATCAGCATCAGCTTTGAGAGCTACTGGTAGATCACGATCTACCTAATGGGCACCCCTGATCTAAGCCATAAAAGAAAAGGCAGCAAATAGAATTCTCACTTAAGACTTTTTGAGAAGTGTTTAGTAAGCCGTGAGTTAAGGGAGCCATGGGCATGTGTATGGCTCATAATGTTCACCATGCAGTGGAATTGGCATGACCCTAATGTGGTCACGTTCAGTACAGCTCCACGTTGGCGTAATGTGACACTGATTGTTTTACTTTTGTAGGTTCCTTAATACTTAAATTGTCTGAAATGGCTCTTTAAGTACTTTCTGTGAGTCACTGACCTAGAAGTACAATGTATAGTTCACAACTGGCTTTCTTGAAAGGAGAAGTCAGCACTGGCAGCTTATGCCTCGGGTCATGAGGAAGGTGAGAGGAGATCCTAAAGACTTGTGTGCACCACATTTGTTTTCTCGCTTCCCCATGCAGGTGAAAGCAGAAGCAACTCAAAATCAGGATCATCCAGAATGAAAGCCAGTTATGGCCCTGTACACAAACCCTATATCACTGATTTTGGCGACCTCTTTTTTTTGTTGCAGCCAATCTTTGTAAAATCTTGTACGGTCTGCCTCTGGCTCCAGCTGTCACAGTTGTATGTAGCTGTTACCAAAGGCTGGCAAGGTGCAGCATCCCATAGTAACCAGAGTTGAAGCAGAACTCTGGGCAAAAGTGTTCTTAACCCTTGCAATGTTGTCTTCTCTTTAAATAGAAGGTTTCTAGTTGGCTGTTATGGGCAACACCTCCCCTTTAAATCTTCAGTGACTTGACTGTAAAGCTAAAAGTGTGCGTATTGGTTTTCTTTTATATCCTAACCATCTGTTGTCTGTTCCTTTCAGGTCACTTGGGTGCTCATTCTACATTCAGCTCTCAGTCGTCTGTGGACAGTGAACTGAGCACATCAGACGATTCCATATCTATGGGCTACAAGCTCCAGGACTTGACTGATGTGCAGGTTATGGCCAGACTGCAAGAGGAAAGTAAGATTGCTTATGGATTTCTTATTCTGTGTTTATGGTGACCATTCACATTGGTCTGTGTACAATATCTGTACAATCTCCTTTTTAGATTTACCAATAACAGTGTAGTATGAAGTCTACCTAAGCAGTTTTAGTTCGGCATTCACACAACATAGTGGCTGATATATAAACGACATTGTACAGAGACCATTCAATTGTAACATGTGCTTTTGATAATGTTTCATTAACTAGATTAATGGAAATGTATAGCTTTGTATAAAATTTCTTATGCTTATACAAAAAAAAGGGTTTTTGTAGACTGGTCGATATATTTGCCATAGTTGTTCTTTTAGGGCTCTGAACCGAGTTAATTAGAGCGATTAGCTCAGGGCAAACAGCTGCAGATGTAGAAAATCCATATTGCTTTGTGCAAGGAGTGTCTTGGGTGTGTGCACCCTGTATTTAATTTTCAAATAAAGATTTTATATAAATGTAAAACATGTTCTAAACCTTGAGTGATCCATTTGTTTACCTTTTTTAATGACTTTAATTACTGCTGAGCCTAATTATGAATGAAGAATGTGATTGCTGCCAACCTTGGCTCCGATAATACCTTGGCTCCGAGATTGTACTTGTTTCCACACAGTGCCCTCTGGTGTTGGGTAAGTGGTAGTGCGGCTTCACACTTTAGCATAGAGCAGAGTTTCATAGGGCTTGTCTTTTTAGCCGTACTCTCACCTATGTGCTGAAACTGCATGTACTTTTTTGTACATTTTCTTCATGCATATTTATAGTGGGATTTTAATAATTTAGGGGCTTTACATGATTTTAGTTTATAAGATGGTTTCAGTTCAGATTTCACATGAAACCATTATTTCCAGCTTTAAATATATATTTTTTTTCCTTTTAACAAAATCACACAAAAAAAAAAACTTCTAATAATAATCGTGTATATAACCTCACTTCAGAAATGCCTTGCAATATATACTACTCTTTAATCCAAAAATTATACATTTCACTCCATTTTTATGTGGGCCTAACTAACACAAACTACATTTATCCCAAAATAAGGGAAAAGCCAATGGACTCTACCTGCTGCTTGTCTTAGAGGCATGAATCCCACTTGATCTTTAGCTATTAAGGATACTATAACTTTATTTAAATCTAGCGGCTTTTCAAATCATTACTACTGCTGCTGTTAAAGTATCTGAGCCCAACCAACATTTATATTTATAGAAATTCCATTTATTTAAAAAAAAATTATCTTCATATAAAGTTATCCAGGCACTGAGAAATCAAGACTTCATTCATCAATTCATTCAAAGGCCTCTGTCTAGCTAATATCCATTTTAATAAGAGCAGTGGCCGCTATGCCTACTTTTCCCCAGGCCACCGATCTTGTGATGTCCCCATGCTTTCTTGGGCCGGGGGGCTTGACAAGAAATTAAAAATGTGCAGGGATCCACAGCGGTTTACCATGACGGTAGTTTGAGATGTTTTAAATATCTACAAGTTTGCTTCAATGGGTCAGGCCGTTTTACAATAGTTCAATATAGGTGGAAACTGAGTCACTGAACTGGCTGATTTTCCTCGGGAGCTCCAGTCATAAGATCACCCAACATATCTCCAGTCCTGGTCACCATAGAATGTCTCTGATCCTTCTACAATAATGATATTCTGTAGAATACCTTTGCTGCATTCTTCATTGCTGTGGAGGTGGACTGCCGTAGATCTTGAGATTCTTTTAGCTTTTCTATTGTGTGTGTAGATTTGCTAGTTGGTTGAACAATCTGATGACCATTAAACTTCTCTGTTTTTCAGGTCTCAGGCAGGACTACGCCTCCAGCTCCGCGTCTGTTTCTAGGCGCAGTTCCAGCGCTTCCGTCCACTCTCTGAGAAGAGGAACATTCAGCGATCAGGAATTCGACACCTACAGTCTGGAGGATGAAGATGACTACGACGGTTCTTTGTCTTTCCGCAGCGCACACCGCTATTCCCCTTCACCTCTCAGTTCACCTCGATGCCAGTCACCCTCCACAGTGGGGGGAAGCTGCGCTTCCCGAATTAGACCTCCTCGCAGATCTATGCAAAATCATGGGCAGGAGCGGATGAAGTACCCAAGTTGTGAAGGTGTGTGTGGGCCCCCCCAAAGCCCATTTACAGTTAACTGAATCATTAGAGAACTGATTCATCCCTCAGAGGGCTGAATGGGAGGTTCTACTAGACATAAGGAACTGCTATATACACTAGTTTGTTTCGCTGTGTCTTTTGATAACCCACAATCCTCTAGGAACCCTTTGTCGTGTATTATGTTTATTTGCCAGTTTAACAAAATCTTTTGCATTTAAAAAAAATATTTTATATTATAGATGACTTGCGGCACAGCATGCCTAATCTTGCAAAAACCAGTTTACGTTCGCTGGAAGCAGTGAGAAGCAGCCGGAGCTTGGAATCCGATCTCCAGGGGCCGAGCAGCCGACTGAGCAGGATTCAGCAGCCCTCCGCTAGTATGTCCATTCAGAGATAAACTCTCCCTTATACTTGAATTTGTCTTTAATAGCTGGTTATTTAGACTTTTGTATTGTTCCTAATATCCTGCGTGCATTTTCAGTCATCGCATATCCTGGTCAGTGTGTACATGTGCATTGGGTGACATTTAATAAAGGAGTGGCATATGAATTACAGTATTGTGCAGTTTGTGTGAAAAATGTTAGCATAAAGCTTTGCATTATAGTGTGACTCAAAAGTAAATGCTTGTTGTGCTGGAACTGTGAGCACTTATTGTGCTTCTAGCCAAAACTTTTTTTAAATTCTTGGAGTGGCAAATGGTTAAAAACCCCTTTCACGTTTTTGCTGCAGTCTTATTTCCTACTGCGGAGATGTTGCTCAGGAGGCACACAAAGTGAGAAGAAATCTCTTGGTGAACAGCTGCCCCCATTCAAAGATGTTCCCTCTTACTGTTCAGGAAATGTTGGATCTCACTCATTTTGGTCTCCTTTCACACTTGCATGTTGTGGTAACATTTGTAGAAAACACTGCAACACGATATACATGTGTGCACTCACTTTGGTACCTCACACACCTGCATTACAGTGCATTCTGGCACACAACAAATGATGTGTATGGCAGTGCATTGCGGTGAAAAAAGAAAATTACAGATGTGGGTTTTACTGTGTTGGGGCGCATTCAAAATGAATGGTCTGCATCTCATTGCATTAGTGTATTGTGATGCATCAGTTATCTCAGCACAGTATAGTGTGAAAATTTTCATGTGGAATTAAAAGATAAATTTCAGTACCACCCTTTTCGGTTGCCTGACGTCATCCCTACCAGCTGCGTGGGTTTGTGTGTACCTGAGGCCTTGCCTTGCACTTTGTACCTAGTTGCATTACTGATACAGAGGGACCAATCCTGCTGCTGTGGGTGACTCCCAGCTCATACTCTCCTAATAGTTCCAGGGGTGATTACTTGGTATGCTCCGAGGGAACCACGCCTGCAGTATGGATGCCGGTAGTCCTAGGTCCTAAAGTATTGGAGTCTCCATGTGTGTCGGGTGAATGTCAGGGTAGGAACCTGCTTGCCACTCATCCAATTATTACCAAAAACGAACTACAGAGGCTTTAAGCATGGTTCAGCACCTTCCCCCTACTAATTCTATCTGACCATCCAGAGACCTTCATACAGGCCAGGCTGTTGGTCCCTGTGGAACAGATTGCTGTCCCCAGCCTTGGGTCTTTCAGCACTCCTGCAACTGCAAAGACCTTTCCCATACACTTACTTTGAGGTATCCCTCCTATGTAGAATGGAAACACTCTGTAGCATCCTGGACCCCACATTAGTCTGTGTTGGAACTGTTCCCTTTTGAGAAGGAACTCGTTACATGGTCATCTCTACCTACAGTGGATTCACCAGTGACCCATTTTAACAGGAAAACTACTAGACAAGGAGGGCTTGCTTACCTCTAAAGATTCTATTGACCAGAAGTTAGAATCCCTCCTTAAATCCCAGTTTTATCTGGCAGGTTATGCCCTCTGCTGGCAGTGACCTTAGTCTGCCAAACTGTGGGCCTACACATAACACCATGATCAGGAATGCCACGGGAAGTCAAAGAGCCTACTCCTGCCTCTAGTGTACCCATAGTTTAGGACAGGGGTGTCCAAACTCTGGCCCTCCAGCTGTGGCGGAACTACAAATCCCATGATGCATCTCTCTCCGGGAGTCATGTCTGTGAGAATCTTGCAATGCCTCATGGGATTTGTAGTTCCACATCTGGAAGGCCAGAGTTTGGACACCCCTGGTTTAGGAGGTATAGAAGTGGTCAGCTGATTCCCATCCTTCTCCATTCTGGGGTAGGTGATCTCTGTCCCTCAGAGTCTAATTTTTAGACCTTTCCTGTTAGGGCTCGAAGTTGGTTAAGACTTTTTTTGGGGGGTTTGGGAGGAGGGA